CAACTCATAGAGGCCCTTCAGAACAGGGTAGAACTGCCCTGTAGGGTTTCCAAGGCTGTTAAATCTTCAGGAAAGCAGGCTGCCTCATCTTTTTCCTGCAAGGGAGTGCTGGTGGGTTTGTACTGCTGCTTTTTGGTTGGCGGGCAAATGCCTTTATGTCCTTCTATCTTCTCCTTCCCTGGGGGATACAAATGGTTAACTGTTAACTGAAAGGTTGGAGGGGCAGGTCCACCCAGAGGTGCCTTTGGAAAAATAGCCATCGAACACCCCACCAGGCATAGTTCTGCTGTCACCCACGTGGGATTGCCAGGAGTCCGAATTGACTCGGAGGCCACTGGTGTTTACCTTTTCATTCATTCAACAAATGTTTGCTATAGGAAATCTCAGTATTGAGTGTACGTACTGTACAGTGGTACGTAGTACACATTTATGGTCCCTGCCTTGATGACATATATGGAGATAGATCATAAATATTGGTTGAAGGAATGAATGCACCATTAAAGCAAAAAGTTCCCATCTCAGGACGAGAATTTTTATGGTGACTTTTAATGTTTTCCTTTCATAGCTAACCTTTGCCGTATTTTATACTGTAACTTTTTTTTTATTTAGTGATTTTTTTTTTCCAGTGACTTTTCTTGTACCCTACCCTCAGTAGGAAACTGGTGTGAAATTCTTAAAATTTTACTCTCAGTTTTAATTTCAATTGAAATATGCTTTAATTTCCCTTGAACAGTTTTTAAAACTAAGCTTGATGAGTAATGACTGTGTCTACTTCAGTAGTAGATTACATTATTTTGTTATCAAATCAGTGTCCTTTTATTAGCTGGTTCAGCAAGACATTTTTCTTCAAATAGTAAAGCCATTCTTTGCTATGAAAAATCAAAGTGACAAGTCTTGGTTGCATTATGTCATGCCATTTAAAAAAAAAAAAAGCCTTGGTTTAAGCAAGCCCGTCCCTCTAGTGCCTCTCACCCTGTTGCATGACCTGCTGTCGGTAAGGTAGTGCTTCCCCGTCTGCTGTTCTCCGTGTGTCTTCATTCCTGCAGCAGTCTTCAGCAGCTTTCCAAATTCTAAATGTGACTTTCCTGTGACAGTCTAAAAAAACGTTTCATCAGTGTGGTGCTGGGTGTTTTCCTCACCCTCAGGGGAATCTTGAACCTTTCTTTATTTTTAAATTTATTAGTACTTATCAAACCTTTCTAACCACCTACAAGGTCTCTTTAAGGCTACTTGATAATGTTTTGTTTGTATGTAAGTCTCAGTGTCACATTTTTATGTTAACAGCTAGTCACCACCCCAAAAAACCTGCATAGCTTCGTATTGTCAAGCTTCACAAATGCCTTCTGATCTATACCAGATAGTTCAAATACTGTCCTTCGTCATGACTCCCACTTCATGAATTCAAAGCGTACTGTGTATCTACTCGGGAGGCATTGTCTGTAGTTGCACAGTTACCTATGAAAGAGTCTAAAGCTGCTCTTTTTGCATGTAAACATGTTCTCTCTTCTGCACCTGGTGTAAGTATACAACTTATGAGATGTGCTTTTTTCAGTGTGTGTCTAACTATTACTTGGGAGACTACAGTCTGGCTAAATGTGGAAAATCCTACTGCTAAGTAACCCTGGTATTATTTTTTTTTTAAAGTTAGTCATTTAGCTGCAATTTCAGAATATGCTCCTAGTAAATACATAGCCTTTTTGACCCTCAGTCTTTTAAATTATCGATTGGCTCCTCTTAATTTTATTAGGACACATGGTTTCTGAAAAGAAATTTGAACATAAGTGAGCAGATACGTGACCAGAAATTCTTAAATTGACTTTGCCCACGAATGTCACTTTACTGTTGTGTCGTGCTACTGTGGTTGTGTTGAATCTTAAATCTGGGACTGTATTTGTTGACTTGTAAACATGTGGTCTATTTTGACCAGTTTGTAGGTTTATTAGATAGAATTGAACTATAATTTACCTCCAAGCACAAAATAAAGGTCCAGCTATTAGGCATTTTGACTCTTGAGTTTCACATGTGAACTAAATTTCTTTTAAATTTTCTAAATAAAGGAGTAAATACTAGATCATTGAGTATTTGTGGGGAAGTGAGGTGGGTGCAGAAGAGTTTAGGTACTAGTTCTATGCAACTGGTGACAACGATGTTTAGCAGAAGCCTTCTTAATTCATACTACAAATTCCGACACCACAGCCCTCTTCTCCTCCCCTCCTTCATTGCCCTGATGGAAGGAGAACTGCAGCATGGAGGAGTCCTGCCAGCCTAGTTGCTTCCTAGACCCTTAGGGTAATAGACTGCTTTTCATCTTAAGTGCTTAATGCCTTTGTGCTTGTTGTCTAGCTGAAGAGATTTATGGAAAACTCAGTTTTCATGGCGATTGCCCATTTACTACTTAAAAAAAAAAAAGTCTCATGCATTTAAGAAAAATAATTGTTCTTAGAGAAGAAACAAAGGACCAGGCTATTAAAAATGTTGACTGAATTTCTGTTACCTGACAGAGAAATCTAGATGTAGTCGTGTAGTTGGTGAAGATGCCCGTATGTTTCTGTCCCTGATTATCTTTTTATCCTTATAATGGTCCCTCGTTTTCCTCTTCTCCGTCCCTACTGTGTAGGAACTCGGCTTTTGCTTCAGAATTTCAGTGGTCGTGCTTACTGCAGCCTTACGTGTGTACTGGTCAGTGGCTCTGGAGCAGTTTCATAGTTGAACTTTCCTGCACAGGAGTCCTGACCTGTGCTTGTCAGCAGGGATGGTTGTTGATGGCGCCCGAGGTTTGGGCTAAGATCCACACAGCCTCCCTTCCTTTACCTGAATTCTGTATAAATTGAACCAGAATTTAAAGTAGTCCCTAGAAAAGTGGAGCAGCAATAATCTGTTCTTTTAAGATAGTTTTTACATTTTATATCAAAACCGAAATGACCTTTATAGGAAAATAAAGCAATTTCAGTTTTAAACTAAGGATGCATCAGATATATTAGTGGGCCTTTCACTTCTGTTACATTAAAATATATATTATTTATGCAGTCCATTCATTATTAATGGTGATGAAGATCGTAGAAAAAATGCTTGTTATGACTATCACAATTTAAATTTTGAATAGTTATTCTCAGTATACTAAGTCATGGTACATATGGTTTATAATTTGTACAAAATAGTTGTGTTTGGTGTTCCTTTCTCTGTGCTATTCATAAATTTGAGACTAGTTATTCATATGTAGAACTGTGGAAAAATTATTGATAGAATAAGTGCAAAGTTAACATTGAATAAGTTGTAACTTATCTATAAAAATGTGGGTTGTTAATTGCTTAGTCTTATACATATATTTTAAAAATTCATGTCACTGTAAATTTTCTTGTACTTTCCTGCTGTTTAGATGCCCAGCCTACAGAGTCTGAGAAAGAAATTTATAATCAGGTGAATGTAGTATTGAAAGATGCAGAAGGCATCTTGGAGGACTTGCAGTCATATAGAGGAGCTGGCCATGAAATACGAGAGGTAAAGCACGTTACACCGTTTTCAGAACGCAAATTCACAGTCTCTCTCTTTCGATTTCTGTTGGTTACTATGTTTTAGAATTCTCTGTTGTCTATTAATGCTACATTTGAAGGAAGATTACTTACATTATTTCAGAAGTGATCAAATGATAGAGTAAAACAACTGTGCTATAAATATATTATTTATATTAAAGAAATTTTATTTGTTTAATGTTGGGTGGTTCTCACATGTGTTTTTTATAATGTCCATAAACCAGGCACTGTTGATGCTTTTTTCTTTTCTTTGTGAGGGACCATAGCTTTCTGTGGCTTTGTTCTGCCAGGCTGTCCTCCACTCCTAAACTTTCTAGGAGAATGTTAAAATCAGCCTTGTAATCCGGACCTACCCTCAGCTCTTCACGGTGACTGTATACCCCAGGGACCATGGCAGGTGGGGCTCCCGCACGTTCCCTCTCCCTGTCCTCTGAACTGGTCCAGGTTGCCTCCCATCTCTCTTGATTTTCAGAAGAATCTGTGTCCCAACTTCTTTCTATTATGAACTTCTCTACTTTTGTTAGCCCATCGTACTCAGGAACTTTACTCTCTTAATTAAATGTTTTCTCCTCTTTTATTGGCTCTCTTCCCTCCGTGTTTCCATGCTTTGGGTGTTTTGTGTGATCCAAAGACGCACTTTCGTCTCTGTCCAGGCACAGCCTTTGTTTCTTCTTTTCTTTTCATCCTTCTTTAATATGGCAGAGATTATCAAGGACCAGTCTGTTGGGTTTAGAGTCCAAATCTAGCTTGATTTCTCGTTTGGAGGATTGGTGAAGGCAGAATAACGTGTCAAGTCCTATAGGTGGCCAATTAAAGAAGTACTGCAGCCTGAAAAGCCACAGTTGTCACTGACTGAATGTTTTGTACGAGGGAGAAACCAGTAACCAGTTGCCTTCCAGTTGATTCTGGCTCTTGGAGGTAGACCAGGCCTTTCTTCTGAGTGCCTCTGGGTGGACTCAAACCCCCTACCCTTTGGTTTGTGGCCAAGTATGTAAACTGTTAGCACCATCCAGGGACTCCAGTGTAAGGGAGAAAGGGGGTTGGTGAAAGATTCTGTGGCTCTCACTTCAGGTCAGCAGATGGCAGGAGGTGGAGGGAAGTTGTAAATCCTGTGGATTCTCCTTGGCTGCCCCACACTGGACCGCGTGGTCCCTGAATGTCCTGCACACGTGCGCCTCTGTGCCTTTCTTTCTGTTTCAATGCCCTTCCTTTTTCTCTCTTCTTCTTGAGTCCCTCTCCTTGCCTTGGAGCCCAGTGGTCTTCTGCTTCCCTTCACGCTTTTGCCCGAGCCCTTTGCACCTCTGTAGGGTAGCGGCCACCTCTTTGACCACCACTGAAGAGTTGGTGTGTCTCTCTTTCCACCACTGTGTTGGAGGAGGGTCAACCGGGTTTCTTACTTAAGTTTTACATTATCAGCACCTGGTACAGTGCTCAGTAAACAGTTAATGGTTGTTGAAGGAATAAATACAGAGCTTTAGACAAATCTTGGTAATGTCATTAGCTTAAGTTAAGCCTTAAGACTTCAGTACATAAAGGTACATACCTACTTCTGTGAAATTCAGCTTCTCTAAACATTCAAACATAGTTTGGAAAATCAAATGTTTGTGGAAGACTTAAAAGATGTTTGGTAGTATCTCCATGTTGATTATTAGTGCTAGAAATTAATTTTTAATTATTTATTGGTGTTTTGCCATTAGACATTTTTTCCAGTTGTTTCACAATTAAAATCTTACTGACTGGTTACAGTTGTCTCCCATAAATGATAAGGAAAAAAATAACTTCATTCACTTTAAAGATCAATATAATTAGCTATTTGGTTGTTTTTTGTATAGCTGAGGATTATAGTGATTTTTCTTATAATTATGACACTGGAAAAATAATTTGTCTGAATGGAAGGGTTATTCTGCTTTTTTATGGGAAAACACTACAATAAAGCACAGGTTTTTTTCCCCAAATCTGTAGACTTAATTGAGTACATATTAAGATTCATGTATTATCTTTAGAAAGGAGCCCTGGTGGCACAAGGTTTAATGTGTGTTGCTGGTAACCAGAAGGTCGGCGGTTCAAACCTTCCAGCCACTCTGCGGAAGATGATCTACTCTGTCCTGTAGGGTTGCTGTGAGTTGGAATTGACTTGATAGCCCACAAGAACAACCTGATCCTTAGAAGAGAGTGAAATGATAGGAAAAAAGCCGTGGTGAGGGACTCACCAGGCTTTGAGCCATACTCTAAAGGCACTGTCATTAAGTTTGATAAAGGAGATAGGATAGAGAAATAGAGAAATGAAATAGATACAAAATAGGTAAGCTAGAAAACAACAACCAACCAACCAACCAGACATGTAAATCTACCGTAGGTAGGAGGCACGTGAGTGGCTGCTGAAGCAGCTGAAGAAAGTTCAGTGAGGATCGTGTCTGATGTTTGGGTTTAACTCTGTGGAAAAGCTGTCTCAATAATAGAAAAAGAGATGAGAAAGAAGATTCGGGTAAAAGCTGAATGAATGTGTACCAGATACACAGTGAACTGATAAAAGGACCATAACTGTCACAGGTCAATATGAAAACTTAAAACAGCCAACTATTTACCTATTTAGAAAGCAGAGACAATAATAGACAAATGCTCCGTTTTGCTAATAAGTATACGTGACTGTCAAGTTTTACTTCACACAATAATGAATTGTTGAAACTCAGTGTTGGTTGGTTTGTGAAGAAGCAGGTGATGCTGATTAATGCAGGTGGTGGTATAAGTCTTTTTGGAGGGCAGTTTCAATGTGTAAAATAAGAACTATAAAATTTATTGGTACACTTGGTACCAGGGGCCTAATTTTAGAAAATGCATTCCAAAGGACTGATTCAAGAGGAAAAAGGGCCACCTTATTCATGGTCACAAAGTGTGGGAGCCATTAATTCATAGAGTTGTTGTGAGGGTGGAATTAGGCACTCTGTGTAAACAGCACAGCACAGTGCCTGACACCTAGCTGAGGAAAGGAAGAGTAGCTCGTTACCATGATGCTAGTGGTAACATGTAGATGCATACGTATGTTTGTTGAAACAACATTGTATTAAACAGAATTTCAAAGTAGAATACAGTTTCATTTAAGATAGAATCAAATAGGTAAGGAAAGCTTATTCTCGGGGACAGACCGCTAGAGGGAGATCGGTCGGAACTGGGCTGACTTCCCGCCACCCCAGCAGCATTGTCATTAGTTTTGGTTACGTCCCTAACAGTTTGAACGTTTTTGAAAGTGAGTTATAATACCTGTTCGTGACTGTCTCACCACTGGCATTTACTGATGCTCTTTGCATATTGGACAGGACCAATATGCGTATTGGATGCTGTACCAAAACATTACTGAGCCTCTCAGTAAACTTGGTGTGAAGAGGAGCAGGACTTGGAATTATAGGGAGGAACCGTAAAATAAAATGTTGGTCTAAAAAGAGCAGACAGTGTCTTCCTGTCTAAATTTGGGCAGGGTGGGGCCGGGAACGGAGCTCTCCTCCGTCTGAAAATGGCTGACATTTGCAGAGCGTTGATACTGGGAGAGTGAGTCGATACTGAAGACATCTTTTTTTGATTCTTGCAGGGAAGATTGGTTAGGTTTCTTAGGAGAAAAATAACATTTTACTCTTCATCTACTTTTTTTCCGGAAAAAAAAATGAACAATTTTTTACTGCTTAGTATAAAATGCTGAGTCTGGGATTGAGGGTAATGGGTTTTTTTTTTTAATGTCCATCAGCATAATATTACAGTCCCTCTGACATATTCATGTTAGTGTAATGTGGAAAAGGGTTATATGTATGACACAGTGTCATTTTCTTTAACATGACGTTTCTAGACAGAAAAGTGGCATTCACTTCATCCCATTAGGCTTTAAGTATCGTTAAATTTTGTTTCATTAAAAGTCAGGAGAATTTGAAATAGTGGCGAGCTTGTGAAGCAGACTGTGTGGTGCATCTGGTTACTTTGTGCTTTATTAATTCAGAGCATCCTCTCAATCTGTCTGGGTTCCCTTTTACTTTGCTTTCTCGTGTTGGTTTGTGTCAATGGAGTTGGAGTTGCTGGACCTTGAGGGAGTCTTAAGTGTGCAGTACCTTCTGATAATGTTCATGAGCCAGCCTGCCGTGGCTCTGGATTCCAGCTTTTCGAATGATCTGTTGAGTTTGTTGGAAGATGTTAGAGAAAGCCAACCAAGTTGTTGAGAAAAACATGTAGTTGGATAAAGGATAATATGAAGCATCCTACAGACAAAAGGAAGAGAGAAGCAGGGAAACGTTGAGACTAACCCCTACACTGTGAAGGCTGTCTGAATGGTTTGAAAGGCAAAGACAAGCCATGTCCAGGCTTGTGAGTAGGGGTCTCCTGCTGATGGTGCTGTGTGAGCTGCCCTTTGAGATTTGAACCTAGTTTTCTCATCCTTTTGGGGCAAGTCTGAGAAAATGCCGAGTACAGAATAAGACTTTAGTTACAAAGAGCAAGGATCTGTGAGACTGGTGGCCAATTTCTAAACAGTGTTTTTCAGGTTGATTGAGGTTTTAAGTGTTTGGTAGGTTTAGGAACTAGTTTGGACACTGAATTTAAATTTGTAAGTTTCTTGGCCTTCTCAGATTTGGCACCTTATTTATTGTTTTAACCTCCTTGGTTTCCTTTCTTTTTTTTATCCCTAAGGGAATATGGTCCGACTTGACAGCATATAACAACAACAAGGGAATATACAATTTATTTGACATTCAGACTTCATTAAGATGTGAAATAGGCAATTTTACTGGGGTTTAACACTACTTTGATTGACTTTTATTCCATCAAATTAATTACTAAGAGAGAACATGTCCGTGATATGGGAACCAGCCATGTAAACTGTTCTGGTGTATCTGAAAGACAACTATGTATCATGATCTAATGTGTTCACCCTATAGCCATACCCATTGCAGGTATAACTAACCTATGGACGTATTACACAGTGAAGCCGCTGAGAGCCAGAACTCGGCGAGACCACCTTGTTTTGCCAGGCATTATGGTCCTTTGACAGCATGCAGTCACCACTTTTCTGTAGGTCTCAGTTTAGTGGAAAATACTTGAATTTTTCTGCCCTGACCAGTTTCTGCCTCACATGGCTTCCAAAGGCTCTTGCCACTTTTACTGTAATAGGTTTAACGTATCGGTGGTGTTGGAAAGGATCCAATGCCGGGTCCTTTACTCTGTATTTTATTGATTACAGCAGGGCCTCCTGTGTGTGCTAAACCTTTATCTTAATGTGAAAATGATACTGTTGTTATTTTTCAAAATCTAACCATTGTTATCTTTGGGTTTTCAAGGCAATCCAGCACCCAGCAGATGAGAAGTTACAAGAGAAGGCATGGGGTGCAGTTGTTCCACTAGTAGGCAAATTAAAGAAATTTTATGAATTTTCTCAGAGATTAGGTAAGTTGAAAGTTTTGTGACTGTGACTTCTCTAGTGACGAAGACATTCATAAACAGCAGAAGTTATTTAGTGTTTTATGTTCACTTTGCAATGAATACCCATGTTATATATATAAAAGCCCACTTGTTACACTAGAAACACAGCTTAACCTTCTCTCCAGCCCTCGTCTTTTATTTATTGAGAACATTTTTCTTGACAAATTGTAATTTCCACAAGGAACTGTCTCTGATTTTTTTTGATGCCACAGGGTCCTAGTGGGAGAAGCTACATGTTACAGTTTCTCTCTAGCTCTTGTCAGATCAGCTTCCATTCAGGGGAACGAATCTTCAGGCCCTGGTTATTCACGTTTTTGTAGTCTTAAAGTTATTGCTGATTATGATCAATTCAAGACCTGAAACTATGGAAGATTAAACCCAGGAAGCTGATAATAGACCCAGAGTTACCCAGGGGTTCTTAAAGTTGAAACAATTTCATCAACAGTTGGCCTCGAGAGGAATTATTTAGAGCTCAGAATGGTCTTCCGTACAGTGAGGAAGCCACCACGGAATCCCTTTCTTGGAAGGGGAGGTGGCAGAGCAGGTGGGATTTGGTCATCCAGCTGCTGTGTGATCTGAAAGATGTAAGTTTGAAGGACTTAGTGAAGCTATCGATACAGAAAGGAGCAGTGTAGACGTGTGTCAGAAACGGTAACGTTTAATGCTTTATTTATGTAGTTTTGATCTTTGAATTACATAAAACTGCTACATATTCTAAATAAATATATAAAAATGTAATAAGCAAGCTATGCTGCAAAACAGAAGTCAAGCTGGAGGTCTGCAAGCTAAATTTAGGCTTGAGATGGGATTTGTGTGGCCCACACAGGTTTTTAAAAATTCCTGAGAAAAGTTTCCAGCCTCTTTGGGAAAATGTAAGTAGCTCAGGCAAGAGTTGATCTGCAGTCCAATTGGTGGTCTCTGTCTTGTTAGTTACAGCCAATACCTGGTGATCCCCATCACCTCCCTGTCTTCTCAGATCTCAGAGTTGATCTGCAGTTCAGGCGGCGGTTTCTGTCTCATTGGTTAGAGCCAATACCTGGCGGTCCCCATCACCTCCCTGTCTTCTCCAGTCTCGCTTTCCTCACGGCTTTATGTTAGCTGTTGGGTCATTTGTGTTTGCGACCTCTCCTTCAAAGTTGAAACATACAGCCTGAAGTTCCAGTTGTGAAAAAATGCCTTTTTCAGAATAGCAAGTGAGTGGTTGAAGTTCCTTTCGGCTACGGTGCAGACTGTTGAATGTGATGTTAAAACCAGTAGTGGTTGCCATTAGTGCTTGTATAAATTATCCTTTTCTTAATAGAAATAAGAATTGCAGTTTATTTTTCCAAGCATGAAAGTCAGTTCTTTTCCACTGTTACACTTGGAACTGCGGTTGTCCTAGATCTTCTCATCTTGTCTATCTTGACAGCTGCATGCTTCGAATTTGTCTCAGGCTGCTAGTCTCTAGCTGTATCTGCAGTTACATTGTTTTCAATGGTGCCTCACTCCCACCCAAGCTCATTTTGGTCCCTTAGTATTGCCATTATGCAGGAGAAGGAACTATAAAATAAGACAGGCAAACTAGGCTTAAAGATTTCTTATATTTTAACCATTGGAATTAGTGAAGCGAGTGCTGAGTGGTTAAGGGTACGGTGCTTCCTTTCAGCAGAGGGATCTAGTGCCAGAGGTAACAGCAAAAAGTGGCCAGTGTTTATTCTGCTTTTGGAAGCCTTGGACCTTCTTAAGTGTACTAGAGGCTTCTCCAGGGTTATAAGCTGAGTATAGAATAAGATCTGGTGGGTTACCTGTCACCTCTTGGCCAGTCACCTGGTTAATAATGTTTCCCATTTCCTTGCTGACACGTGAGAGCTGCTTGCATGTGATAAAGACTCTCTCAATGTTTGTTGAGTGAAGGACAGAGTGGAGGATTAGTGGATGCACACATTTTGAACGTTGGATATATGCTGGGTAGTTAGGAGAAGCTGTAGTGGATATTTGATCCTGTGTTTGAATCCTGCAGTTGGCAGCTTATTTGTTGCATGGCCTTGATCATATCACTTAACCTGGCTGTTTCAGTATCCTCTCTGGACTGCATGCAGTCTGTTAAGCTTTCTACTTTGTATCCACTAAAACTCATCTGATGTTTGTCTTCCTACCCCACTGTTGAGCCAGAGATGAGGAGGAACACACGAAGAACACGTGGAGCACCACATGACTGTCAAGTGCATGTGGTCCTTCAGAATCTTGGGCACCCCTCTGCCACTGTCCAGGGTGGTTTGGGCTGAGTGCCACCCATACACCATGAGTTATACTTGACAGGCCCTTGGTGTTTTACATACTGACAGCGGGCCAGGCAGGGATCACCTGATGGATCTGCGCACAGGGTTTCACCTTGCTGACTGGCATGGGAAACATTGTGCACTCGCTTGCTGGAGCCTGAGTCTTTGTCTTCCCTGCTGCTTGGCATGCAGCAGACAGACTGCATTGTCTCCTTTCAGTCTCCCTTGTGCCTCAGGAGTATATTACAGGGACACTTCCAGGGGTTGTGATGAGCGAGGCTTTTAAACGTGTTGACTCCTTTACACTAAGCTAAGTTTAAAACACAGTCTATTCAAAAAGTCCAGAAGTGCTCATCATAATTGTGACCATGTCTCTTGGCTATAAATGACACCTATCCTGAATCCTACTCTGGATATTTTTGTTTGCCTAAGGATAACATTTGGGAGCTCTGGTGGCGTAGTGCCTAAGGCATTGGACTGCTAATCAGAAGGCTGGCAGTTCAAACCCACCAGCCACTCCTTGGAAGGAAGGTTGGGCAATCTACTTCCGTAGTGATACCGCCTCAGAAACCCAAGGAGAGGTCGCTATGAGTCAGGTCTGACTCGATGGCATCGTGTTTGGTTTTTGGTTTTGGAAGGATAGCATTTATTAGGTCTCTTATGTCTGCAAGCCAAACACTACCTGTGGTTACCATGATTTCCCCCCTATACACACGGTACACAGAGATTAGAGGTTATGATCCCTAATACTTCTGGGGCAGGGGCAGGGGGCCAGAGACTAGGCTGCAGCCTCAGAAGACTCACATCAGCATTTAGGAATATACCTGTGTTTGGATCAACTCACAAGACAAGCTACAGGAGGTCTTTGTAACAGTTTCGTTTCAGTCCTGCCAAAGTATACACCTACTCTTCACTCAACAACTCTCATTGTCTGACGTTTCCAGTTTACCATAATAGTAAAAATCTACTATCCGACTGCTTTGCACATTAACAATGTCTGACAGTAATGAATGCCATTACTGTACAAAGTGAGAGTAGTGTTGGTTAATGATGGTTAAGGTTATGTGTCAGCTTGGATAGGCCATGATTCTCAGTGGTTTGGCAGTTGGTCATATAATTTGGTGGTTATGCTGTGTCTTCCATTTTGTTATCTGATATAGTCATCCTCCATTTTTGCCTAACACTGATTTTCATGTAACAGGCTATTCTTTGGGACTTAACCGTTTTGGTAAGGAAGGAGTGGGTGTGTTGCTATATATATCAGACCACCCCAAAACATAGACTTAAAACAGCAGTTCTGTTATTTTTTAATGCTTTCTAGATTGACATGGCTTGGCCTTTTGACTTTTCTCTGTGTGATCCTGTTCAGGACAGTAGTCCACGGCCCAGTGGGCTGTAACATCCAAGGTGGCTTGTGGCCATGGCTGGCACTTGATGTCACCTGTTGGCTGGGAACTCAGCTGTGGCTGTCGTCAACCAGAGCACTTTTCATGTGGCCTCTCAGTGTGGCTTTGATTTCTCATGGCATGGGGGCTGAGTTGTAAGAGGAACTGCCCCAAAGCAGTTGGTCCAAGAGAAGTGGAAACTACCAGTCCGTCCTCTCAAAGGCTAGACTTGGAACTAGCACAGTGTTGTCACTTCTGCCACATTCTCTTGGTTGAGACCATTGATAGCTTCAGCTGTTTTTGGATAGAAGTCCTGCAACTATCTCTCACTGGCCGTAACTCAGCTTAGTGATCTCTCTGCTCTTGGTTACAGAAGTCTGGGTAAAACACTGCTTTATTTGAGAGACAGTTTATGATGCTGGAAAGAATAGGGCCTTAGAATCAGAAACACCTGGCACTTACTAGCTGTCACCTTGGGCTCTAACCTCTGAAACTGAATTTATCCATCTGTGAGGTGGTGTTTAAAATGGCCATGTCACAGCTGACAGTGGAAGTGAAGTTGAAGACCACAGCAAGTGCACAGGAGGGATGGTGGTGAGTGCTGCATGAATAGTAGAGCTAGTATTT